GGACTGAGGTCCCTAGGGACGAGGGTGTTCAAGAACCGTCCACTCCTCCGAACGTGGCGACGCTCAACTACGGTCAGATGCCGACCTTCAACAGTGCCGTGGGACAAGCCGAAGTCGCCGAGGTGATCCGCAGATACCCCTGGAGGAAGGACTACAACATCTATGTACCACAACTGCATCAGTCCGCCGCCCTGCCACCAAAGAATAGGGTGACCATCTATGTGGACCAACTGGAGGCCGGGCTCAGAGTGCCCACAACGAGGTTTCTTCGAGATTGCTTGAGGTACTGGGGGGTGAGAATCACTCAACTCACCCCTAATGCCATTCGGGTCCTCGTCGGCTTCCAGTTACTCTGCCGACATCAGGAGATAGAACCCACAGTCAACCTCTTCCGCCGCTATTACTCACTCAAAAACAGCGGAAGTGAAAAGGGATGGTTCTACTTCGGGAATAAAGTTCCGAAGCTGGTGGTTGATGCTCCGAGCTCAATAAAGGAGTGGAAGATGAATTTCATCTTCATCCCGGCTGAGGACTTCCCCCGGGGGTTCTGGTGGAGGCCACCCACCTCGATAAAGGAGGTATCTCCGGGCAAGCTGAAAGAACGCAACTTCCAGAAGTTAACGGAGTCGGGGCTCAGGATCAACTGCTGGGATTTTCCCGAAGTGATTCTAGTAGAAGGCGGGCTCAGCCGAGCCTTGATCAGTTTGGATCATCCCGTCCTCCTCTCCTTTAGGTTTCACATACCTTGTATTTTTTCATTTCCCTCTTTTAGTTTATCTTTCTTGAATTCTAATTAACTCTCCTTCATGCTATGCAGTGACGAAAATTTCTGACCTGATCACCTCGGGGAACGTCGAGGCGGCGAAGAGGCCACCCAAGAAGCGCAAAGACGCCATTGGGTCCTCCCCCAGGCCTTCTAAGAAGTCCACCGCGGGGACAAGCGACCGCGAGCCTACCGTAGTGATCGTGGGCGAGGGCTCACACACCTCGGCCACTCCCGGAGGCTCCCGCGCCTCGGCCATCCCAGTGGGGGTACCTATCCGGGGGGTCACGATAGCCACTCCACCCCGGGGCCAAGGCGTGACCACGTTCCCGGATAACCCCGTCACAGGGGTCTCTTTGTTTAACCTCCACCATGTACCCTCCAAAGCGGTCGAGGAGGACAAGAGGCACCCCGGATCGCACTGGTGTCCGGAGTGAGAGATTAATGTCAACGACCGGTGCAAGAACCCCCTGGTTGCTCAGGAGCTCTTGGTGCACTCGGTGTTGCCTCGAGATAGCATTTATGCCAGGAAGCTCACTCCGGGTGAGCTAATGCAAAGTGTTTCGGTCTCCTGGGCCTCCACCACGGCATTCTTTGCTGAAATGATTCAACGCTACGGGCGGTTTATGGAAACCTTCGAGCCACCCGCCGAGCTCCAGAAGAAGATTGCCGACCTGGAAGGAAAGCTAAGGGCAACCGAGCTGGAGCGCGACAAGGCCGAGGCGGCGAGGAAGAAGGCTGAAGTCGCGAATAACTCCTTGATCACCGCCCTTGACGAGGGAAGAAGAAAAAGAGCCCAAGAGGAGCAGTCGACCCAGGAGGCATAAACCAGGCGGGGGTGACTGCCGTGGTATCCTTCCGTAGCTCAGAATCCTTCACGCGCGATCTCGGGGAGCTGACTCGGCCGAGCTTCATGTTAGGCTACACTTCGGCCGTCAATGATGCAACACCCTTCCTTTACTCTGAACAACTGGAGTCCTTTCAAAACGCTCCGCACTATAATGAGGATGCCAAGGAGCTGTGCGACCGCATGGCTGAGGGCATCCAAGTTGGCCGAGACCTAGCCGAGGTCCGGGTTGAGTTCAATAAATGGCTCCAGGAATTTGAGCTAGACGGTGATGATATTGAAGGCGGCCAGGTCGGCGGAGGAGTTGAGGGAGGACAAGATACCGAGACAGGATGCCAGACCATGGGGGGTCAGAATGCTGGGGTAGGGAGTGCTTAGGAGCACTCTCTTTTTGTAATCAAGGGCCGAGGTCATGACTAACCTCGGCCTTTTGCTCTTCACAATTTAAATACAATTTGCCTTCATGTTTTTTCTTTTTAACTGAGTTCAGTTTTCTTCCTTTGACTACTGCTTTGTCCCCTTATTTCTCATTTGTGATAAGACAAGAATAAGTGAAAAATAACTTGAAGAACTAAAATTTGAGAGCACGTACCTTTAAAGGGTAATATAACTTAAGGTTTTCAACATGCCAAGTCCGGGGCACTCGAGAACCATCTCGGTAAGCTAATTTACAATATCTATTTTGGCTGGACTCAACAACACGGTAGGATCCTTCCCACTTGGGAGTTAGTTTACCCTGAGGTTCAGCTCGGCTAACTGAATTCTTCCGGAGAACAAGGCCTCCCGGATTGAATCGCAAGTGTTTGACCCGTGCGTTGTAGTAGCTAGTTAGGATATTTTTATAAGTAGCAACTTTGGCCGCGGCCATATCACGCTTCTCCTCGGCGAGGTCGAGATCAACTCGCCGTTCCTTTTCATTGGCCTCGGCAGTATATGCGGCCATACGTGGGCTTGGTGTGATGAACTCGGTTGGGACAACAGCTTCAGACCCGTAGGTTAAGAAAAACAGGGTTTCTTGAGTGGCTGACCTCGGCGTAGCTCGGTAGGACCACAACACACTGGGGAGCTCTTCCATCCACGATGATCCAGCCCGGTGGAGCCTGGTCTTGAGTCCATGGAGGAGGGTTCGGTTGAAATTTTCGACTTGTCCATTTGCTTGAGGGTGTCCAACCGAGGTAAATTGTTGCTTAATCCCCAAGTTTTCAGACCATGTCTTGAAAGGATTATTTGCGAACTGCCTGCCATTATCCGAGATGATCACCCGGGGCAGGTCGAAACGACACACCACGTTCTTCCAAAAGAATTTTTGAACCGCAGCTCTAGTGATGCTTCTCAGGGGCTCAGCCTCAACCCATTTGGTGAAATAGTCCACTGCTACCACCACGTAAGCATGGTTGCCTAGAGCCCTGGGGAATGGACCGATTATATCAGTTCCCCATTGCTCGAATGGCCACGGAGAGGTGATGGGTATCATGAGGTTGGTCGGCTGGTAGTGCTCAGGAGCGTGATACTGGCAGGAAGGGCAACAAAGTACCATGATCTGGGCATCTACCCTCATGGTGGGCCAGAAGTACCCGAGCAGCAAAGCTTTCTTCACAAGTATCGTGAAACCGACGTGAACGCCACAGAGTCCCTCATGAATGTCTTGAAGGATTCTCTCGCCTTCCTCCGGGGTGATACATCGCAGGCAGGGGTCGAGGTAAGACCTCTTGTAGAGAAGGCCTTGTCGGAGGGTGTACCGAGTTGCTTTTCGTTGAAACTTCCGTGCTTCAGCTTGGTCCTCAGGGAGCTCTCCATGGCTGAGAAATCGAGTTAAGGGCCCCATCCAGGTGTCCCCGGAATAGATGGGGTACACGACCTCTCCTTCATACCCCGGCTCGACTAAGACTTCTACGAGAACCGTCTTATTTAGGTCGGCAAAAGAAGTGGAGGCGAGTCGGGAGAGAGCGTCGGCCCTCCGGTTCTGTGACTGTGGTATCCTTTGGATTTCGAAAGACTCGAAGTGTGTCACTAGCTGGAGGATCTTAGAGAGATAGCGATGCATCACTTCGTCTCTGGCCTCGTATTCGCCTAATATTTGGCACATGATGAGTTGGGAGTCGCTATACACCAAAATGTGTGAAGCCCCGAGCTTGCGAGCTAATTGCAGGCCAGCTATAACAGCCTCGTATTCGGCTTCATTGTTGGAGGCAGCGAAGTCAAATCTCAGGGCGTACGAGCACACATCTCCTTGAGGGTCTTCGAGGAGCAGGCCTGCTCCACTACCCTCACTGTTAGATCACCCATCTACGTGTAGAATCCATTGCTGGAGCCCAGCGATGGCCACTTCAACTGTCACCGGGGTGGTAGCTGGGATGGGCTCTTTTACCTCGTCAAAGGTGAGTTCGGCTAAAAAGTTCGCAAGAGCCTAGGCCTTAATGGCTGTGCGAGATTCATAAGAGAGGTCATACTCCCCCAGTTCAATGGCCCATTTGGTGAGACGTCCCGAAGCCTCAGGTCGTGTCAGGATCTGCGGGAGTGGTTGATCAGTCCTTAAACAGATGTGGTGAGCTAAAAAGTAGGGTTTGAGTCTGCGGGCTGCATGGATCAGGGCCAGCACAAGTTTCTCCGCTTGTGTGTACCTCGTCTCTGGACCTCGGAGGACTCGGCTAACGTAGTAAACAGGCATCTGGACTCCTTCCTCTCTTATCAGCACGACACTCACGGCTTCGACCGCGACAGAAAGGTATATAATCAATTTGTCCCCTGGACGAGGTGAGGTGAGCGTTGGGAGATGGTGAAGGTAATCCTTCAACTGTTCAAACGCCTGTTGACACTCTTCAGTCCAGGAGAAGTGGTCAGCTTTTTTCAATACTTTGAAAAATGGCAGGGCTTTGGAGGCTGACTGCGATAGGAACCGGTTCAGGGCGGCCAATCGCCCCGTCAACCTCTGAACATCGCAGACGCACCGAGGTGGGGACATCTCCTGGATGGCTCGCACCTTATCCGGGTTCGCTTCTATACCTCGTCTTGAGACGAGGTAGCCCAAGAATTTTCCCGAGGTCACCCCAAAGACGCATTTCTTGGGGTTCAGCATCATTCGCGTCTTTCGGAGAATATCAAGGACTTCTTTCAGGTCGGCCAGAAAAGCGGAGGTCATCTGACTTTTGAGGAGGATATCATCTACATAGGTCTCAACATTCCGGCCGATCTGAGACTTGAATGCTTGGTTGACTAAGCGTTGGTAAGTGGCTCCGGCATTTTTCAGCCCGGAGGGCATGGTAGTGTAACAGTACGTGCCGCGGTCAGTGTAGAAGGCCGTCTTCTCCTGGTCTTCTTGGCTCATACCAATTTGGTGATAACCTTTGAATGCATCCAGGAAACAGAGGATCTCATATCCTATTGCCGAGTCTACCAAGGTATCAACCTTGGGCAGTGGGTAACAGTTCTTGGGGCAGGTCTTGTTGAGGTCGGTGAAGTCGACACACATCCTCCAAGCCCCCGTATCCTTCTTGACCATGACCGGGTTGGACACCCAGGTTGGGTATTGGACTTCCCGAATGATTTTAGCGGGTAAGAGTTTGTCCACTTCCTCACCGACAGCTCGGCTGCGCTCAGGGCGAGGTGCCTTCTCTTCTGTTTGACCGGACGGGTTTGGGGGTCGACGTTCAGCTCATGCATCATGAGATGGTACGGGACTCCTTGGACCTCTTCGGCGGCCCAAGCAAAGACGACCCGGTATTCTCTGAGAAGGTCCACCATACCTCTTCGGACTGGATCGGGCAATCTGGTACCAACGCGAACTGTCTGATCAGGTTTCGTGGGGTCCAGGGGAAGCTCTTCCACCTCATCCCCAGTCTCCAGCCTCGGGACCTTCTCAGCTCGCTGAGGATCAATGCTATCTATTGAGAGGATATTTGACCTCTTCTCGGGTCTCGTTCCGGAGGTTGATGGGGAGGCCGCTTGTACAGTGGCGAGGTAACACTCCCGGGCAGCGCAGACGTCGCTACTGACCTCGACCACTCCTGCGGGAGTAGGAAACTTAAAGCTTAGGTGGTAGGTAGAGTACACTGCCCGCAGAGCATTAAGAGTGGGTCGCCCCAAGAGCAAGTTGTACGGGGAGTCGGCCTTAACCACCACAAAGTTCACTGGGATAGTTCGGCAGCGGGGGTGGTGCCCCACGGTCACCGTCAGGGTCACCATTCCCTCGGGGTGGACAACGTGCCCTCCGAACCCTACAAGAGGGGTTCTCACTGGGGTCATGTGCTCTCTAACCAGTTTAAGACTCTCAAAAGTGCGGAGGTACATGACGTCAACTGAACTTCCCGGATCTATGTAGACCTTTTTCACAATGTAGTTGTTGGTGAGGACTTCAATCACCAAGGTTTCATGACTGCTGGAGGCAGTTAGGACGGGATCACTGGGTCCGTAGGTGATCACCTCGGACAGGCGAGAACACGACTCGGCTTGATCCGGGTTGGCCTGCCTATAGGTCCTCTTCCGGGAGTTCTGACTATCCCCTCCCGTCGGACCTCCGGCAATGGTGTTAATGACTCTGACGATGTTCGGCCCATATCCCAACCCATGTCCTGCAGATCCGTCTGGGGGAGGCCTTTTCGTCTCCCTGGGATCCTCATGAGGTCGGCAACTGCTTCTGGAGGTCCGCCGCTCATCTCGGCGTTGGTCACCTCGTCTGTCACGCCGGTTTTCGTCACGTTGGTGGCCTCCACCTTGGCGGATGAACTGTTTTAAGTGCCCCCGTCTAATGAGGTTCTCGATCTCCCTCTTGAGATCGTTGCAATCCTCAGTCTCGTGACCGATGTCACGGTGATACAAGCAGTAGAGGTTCGAGTTCCTTTTGTCTCTGCTTCCAAGCATCCTCGGTGGGGCCTTTCCGAGGTTGTTTTGTTCCATCACGGACAACATGTGAGATCGGGTAGTATTCAAAGGAGTCAATTCGGACTCGGGAATAGGTGACTTCCCCTTGGATATCCTGTCGAACACGCTGCGGCGGTCTCGGCCAGGATTTCGGAAGCCACTTCCCGACCCTGCTTCAGTTCGGCCAGCGTCTTTTCTCTTTCTGAGATCAGCCCTTGGACGGGTGGCTTGGACCTCTTTCTTCATGCGGTGGAGGTCTTCGGCCTGTATGCCCTTTTCGATCTTCAACCACAATTCATGCAGTGTGCGGGGGTATTTCTTATGGATTCTCGTATTAAACTCCCCGGCAACGAGTCCATGGGTGAAGGCAGCGAGGGTTACCTGTTCATTGGGGTCAGGTATCTGAACGCTTTCCTCGTGAAACTTCCGGATGTACGACCGGAGTGACTCTCCCCGGTTCTGCTGCACAGTGAGCAGGTAAGCCGAGGTCTTGGTCGTAGGTCGGGAGGAGACAAATCGGTGGAGAAACTTTTCCACTAATTCACCCAGGGTTGAGATGCTCCTAGGTTCTAGAGCCCAGAACCATTTTTGAGCAGTTCCTCGGAGGAATACTGGAAAGGTTCGGCATATGACAGGGTCTGGGATGCAGTATAGGCGGAAGGCCGAGATGAAGGCATGGATGTGGTCTTCGGGGTCACCTCGGCCATCATAAGATTGTACTGCGGGGAGTTTAAAATTGGGAGGAAGCATTTCCTCGTTTATATCATCTGTAAACGGTGGAGCCCTCATGCAGTCCACCCCGGGTATTCCCAAGGGCCGAGGTTCTTCCTAGGGTCGTCACCCCAGGAGCCCTCGAGAGAACGCCTTGGTCAGGGAGGCTACCTTAGAGGTGGTCTTGGAAAATGCTCGCTTTGAGGCACTTCGGTTTAAGCGCCTCCCATCTGACTCTTCTTCAGATGAATCCTCAGGGGACCCATCTAACTTCCTTTTAGAGGATTCGGCCTTTTGTTTGTCTTGTCTCTTAAGGTATCTCCCCAATTCTTCAAAGATATTGGGGTTCTCAGTCACAAACTCGGCCATACGGGTTATGGCTTCTTCGTTTGCAGGCTGAGTCCTTGGGGACTCCTGCCCTTCAGGAATATTTTCTTGTTGAGTTGCATTGCTTTGCTCGGCCTCGATAGTGAGAGCTTTTCTGCTCTTAGAACGCGCATGCTTCATATTCTAATGTCTTCGCGTTTCCCACAGACGGCGCCAATTGAAGATGTGATTTTTGGCCCTGCTGAAGTGATGTCCACGGACTGGAATAGGATTCCGGACTGGACGGTCACCGTGGCTGAGTCACCTGCTAGAATTGTGAAAGGGGTCTGAATCCTCCGGTGTAACTCCGAAACTTAAGTCAGTTCGGCAGTATATTAGTAAGAAAGTAATGGGAAGATGGTAGTATGGTGTTACCAGAAATTGATTATCCACTTTCCTGGTAGATACGGTGGGTATTTATAGGGGACGGATAGGAGAGAGAGAGAATGCCTGCACGGGTACCCAAAGATCTGGGATAGTCAGTGCATCCGGTGGACTTGACCGGTCTCTATGAGAGGACGTGATGGGACATTCTGTCAGGTTCAGGCGACGTGTCAGAGCAGTCCTCAGTCAGGTGTCAGGTGCGTCAGAAGTCACATCCCTCATTTCCATAATTGAATATCATACGAAGTTCACCTCGGGGATACTACCTGGACCTCGTAGCCGAGGTGGACAATGGATGCTGATCGCCTCGGGAGACGTATGACTGAGGTGGTACTTCAGGGAAGGTCAGAGAACCAGACCTCGGCCGATCCGAGCCTAAATGTCTCTCCTCACCGTACCAACTGCTATAACAAATAAACAAAATGTTATCAACCTAATCAAGTATGGACCTTTTGCATATGATTATTCTACTACTTTACATTAAAATGTAGGCAAAAACTTGGATAGACCTGATCTCGAAAATGATTATTCTATTACTTTACGTTAAAAATGAAGGCTATAACAACATATTTGGTGAACTTTTCTAATGAGACCTTATTTTAGAGATGGAATATCATTAATCAGATTTCACCACTGACTTGGTAAATGCAAATTTTGGAGGTGTATTGCAGCATGAATAAACATTTCTGCTTTTGGTGTAGGTGTTAGAAAAATGTTGGTAAATACTTCTTTTCTACTTTAAAAGTGAAAATGTTGATAAATAATTCTTTTTCCCTTTGAGCAAATTTCAAAGATTTTCTGTGAAAAAAACGAGTAGACTTATATATATATAAAGAGCATTATAGCTCCATTAATTACATCATAAACAACTGAATATCTCAGCTTTGAAAACATAAATGAGTAAAAGACTACATAAGTAAATATTAATCTCCTTGGAAAGGCACTGTTTCAAAAACCCTCCATGCATCTTTTGTTTTCTTATTTCTTTTAAAGCAGTTTGAACCAACCCTTCTAGTGAATGATCCGAGGAAAAGGATAAAGAAGCAAACTAAAACAAGTTATAAGTTCTACAAACTAAGCACATAATTATCCAATGATATTACTTGTGTAGGCATTTGCAAATATTCCGGATGCATGCTAGTACTTACCAAGAAAAATGCCACATACAAATTAAAATGAATCCATAAAACATCTTGGAAAACTTTCATCAGGGAAATTACTAAAACAAATCAAATGTTTGGTGTTCTAAGCTCACAGAAATGATAATTTTTATTTATTTATTTATTATTTTAATGTAAGCGGAAGTTCCTGAATCTGAAAACTCTCACTTACATTCCCTCCTCCCGTGCCACTCAACTCATTTCTCGCCAACTTATAACAATTTCATCAAAATTGCTAGAAACAGTGTGGTGTGCCTACATTTTTTTTTGGCACACTTCAATTTGCTAGGTGGGTGCTGAGTGCCTTTCGGTATCTTGTTCTTCAACTTCTATGTGTAGTTGGCTAATTTTTGTTGGGAAAGATGCAAAGAGATTCTGTATCTCATCATTTTCTTCACCAATAATAACAGATAAAACCTAAATACTCTAGTCCATTGCAACTTCTTCAAAGTAACAGACGTATACAATAGAGGGTACGGTCATCATGTAGAATTGTTAGATTAAACTATGATTGACTAACACATAGCTTTTAATTATTGATCGACACATCTTATGTGGCATCATAACCATTTCCTCTGAAAATTTTGAGTATGAGGATACGTATTCTATTCATTGACTTTTTATTTCTTTCTTTTTTTTTTTACTTTTTTCTTTCTAAAACCATGTATTTCTTGTTTGGAATTCAATCTTCTAGTTATCTCTTGCTCGATTTACTTTTAGGGATCTGGTTAAACACTCTTTATTGTTTGTTATATCGTCATTTGATTGCGAAAGGCTTGCCTTGACGGAGCAAACCGACAGCGGTTGCTATCACAACTTACAAGAGAAAACGCACAAAAATTTTTTTTAAATGCCTTGTTTATTTGGCAAAAATTCAACAGAAATGTCACATCTGGAATCGCCCTGGTGGTGTTGTTGTATTTGTATAAATATATGTTCTTTTTGTGCGCCTAAATTTTGCAATTCTTTTACATTAAAAGCGTGAATTTTTTTTTATTTTTTTTATTTTTTGTGTTTATCAAATATTGAAGTACAATAACTGGACGTAGTCGCATAAAACTATTACCTCATCTGCCCCATGTCCTGTTACAGCTATGGCATTGTAACAATATATATATATATATATTTGCAAAGAAGAATGGTAAGTACTCGAAGTTGACATTTTCTCATTGTTGATCTCAGCCAATTAACCACCTCAAGGACAAATTTTCAACCATTCTATCTGGCTGTAGACATTTTGCAAGCCTATCAGCAGAAGTACGTATCTAGGTACCGAAGCACAATTTGTCTTCTAACATGACCATGAATGCCAATTAAGCCAAAGAAAATTAAACTCCCCAGCTGATTTAAAGTGAGAAAATGAAAGTCAATCAAACTTATAGGTTCTTATTATTGGTTGCAAGCTAGCTTGAATCTTTCCCAAAAAAAAAAAAAAAAAAAACCCCAAGAAAAGAAAAGCAGCTTTAATTGAAACATTACTTATTGACATGTCCATAAGATATTCTAATTGCCTTCTCTAGAGATCCCAAGGTCGGAAGGTCTACATCACTACCTCTGCTTCTTTGCCCTTGCAATGACCAAGAAGCTAGCTGCTCGATGAAAACGTCCCAACTAATTGAGAAAGTGTTATTTGTTCCTTGTCCTTTCGAATGAAGTTTTCAAGTCGACGAAGAAAGATACTTTGACCATACTCCAATTATCTAATGTTCTTTAGTTTAACTTTGATTAATCAGACTGGAATTGACAGAAAAATAGAAAATTTCATGAACCACTCAACAAAGTTTTTATGCTAAAACCATCCGCGTACAAGGTAGGTTCCTATAGTTGCATGATACATAAGATAAAGATAGGCATCAAGAAGTAAATCTTGATATTTAAAAAAAAAAAAAATTTTTCTTTGAGCACCCGATATTCCTACTTTCAGTGAGACTAATCCGGATTCGACTCGAGGTGTGCACGCTCAGTTCGATTCTTACTCGGAAGTGAAAACCCAACCCAAGATTTTCAACGTGCGAGTCAAAATTGTGAACCTCCCATTTGCATTAACAATCCGTGTATCCGACGCATGAACTTTGACACAAATTGCACGAGGTAATTGCTTGATACAAAAAAATTGCGATGGGCCTTGGATGGAATTTGAGGCATTGACCATAAGACTACTTTGTGGGGTTGGGCATCAAGAATTTATCTGCCCAGAGAACAGTCTATGGGCCACCAAGTGGCCTAATTTTGCAGGACCTTGTTTGGATTCCTATGGATCTCTTCTTTGGATTGGACAGCAAATAGGCAACCCGAACCGACCCAGGATCCGGTAACCCGTTTCTTGAAATGAACGCGAAGACTAATAATCGATATTGCAAGGAACTCTGTCCTCTCCAGTCTCCATACTGCCTTCTCAAATTTTCATCTTCACAACTGATGCGGATTGTGGCGAGAACGAATTCCTGAAGATTAGGTACACACAAAACCACACTCCCCTTCGTTGTACTTCGATTGATCAGAAAAGTCTTAGTAATATTTTACTAACTTATGATGTATCCTAAAAAACCCACCTTTCTTACCATTATCAACGGAGCGCCGCCAGAAAGACTCCAAAGCCCTGATAGTACAGCAGTCCTGCCATGTTTATTTAGAGCTCTGTTCTGTTCTCGTGCCCGTCTAAGCTGTTTTTGTGTTTGCTTAAAAGATTTGAATTGTAAAATTCCTTATTGTTTTTGTGTGGAGGGAATTGTTTCTGAGATTAGATAATTGAGGGTCTAATGGCTCCTTTTTGATGTTCTAATTAGAAAATGATATGTCTATAGATATGCATGTGACTATGGACCTAATCACTCCCTTTTTGAGTAGTTATTTTTTCATTCGTATCTATTTTGATTAGGATAACGAGATCTTCTTGGCTCTTTTACTTTGAACTAATTAGTACCGAAGAATGTGGTTGCAGAAATTAGTAAATCTGAAGTTGGTGATTGCGTGTATTTCCTCCCTATGTGAGGTTCTGAAAGACTTTATGTTATGAGGATATGTGAGATCTCAATGTGTTGGAATATTGCCTGACAAGATTTACTGCCTGTTTTCGTTTTTAGTTTTTATGGAGCATGTATTCAAAATACCTGGCTGTGCTCTATGTTCATATATATATATATTTTGTTCCCTTTTGGGTGACATGCTATGAATAGCTGCAATGGAAGCACCTAATCAGTCTGATCTGCGATCTGATTTGAAACCTCAAGTCACGTACCGCTGCAAGAAATGTCGAAGAATCGTTGCTACAGAGGAGATGGTTGTTCCCCATGAACGTGGAGGTGGACAGAAGTGTTTTAAGTGGAAAAAGAGAAGTCATACCCAAGTGGAAAATGAGCCACCTGAATGCTCATCTATTTTTGTAGAGCCCATGAAGTGGATGGAATCATGTTAGTCAATTCGCAGATTTCATGCTTTTTATTCAACAATATCGGATATTTGTCTTGCACTAACATCGTTCAACTCATATTTGCTGTCAGTACAAGACGGTGGTGTGGAAGACAAGATTCTGTGCATGGGTTGTAAAACCCGGTTGGGATCCTTCAATTGGGCTGGCATGCAGTGCAATTGTGGGAAGTGGATCACTCCTGCGTTTCAGCTGCACAAAAATCGGATTGATGAATGTCAATTATGATCGAGGATCTTATAGCATATTTTTGTCAGTTTAGCAATATTGTCACGAGTATAAAGCAGTTGGTTGGTACTCTATTTGGCAAGCTTTTAGTCTAGCATGCTTGAGAGTCCATCATACACTTCTCTCCTGGTTTAATGTTTCTGATGAAGCCCGCTAGTAATCTTGTAAATCAGTAAGTTGGTCGCACTTTTGCATGTCGTGTAATCTAGCAGGTGGGAGTCAACACGACTAAGTTTACTTGTATACCAAAAGAAGGAACTGCTATTAGCTGAAATTCAGAGAGAAGCATGTTGTGGAGATGCTTTCTGATTCTAACTTCTGATTTACTGAGCGTTTAGAACAGAGCTACCTTGTATGTAAATTTAGTAATCTCATGCGTTCTAAATTCATAGGACACAATGTTGCGAGAACAGGTGCATTTGTACTCCTCTATGACGGAGATAATGTTCGATCTCACCAGATCAACAAATTACAATCCGGGAAGATGGTCAAAATTAAGTGGCATACTGCACTTGCATACTCCATGGAGAGTACATACACAAAGTTACCATGTCAATAACTCCCTTGTTATAAAATGATAAAAATGGTCGTCATTTCTTCGCTACATTACTGTCAACAGAATTCTGCAACAGGCATCAGCAAAGAAGATACTGTCATGTCAGCCAAAAAAAAAAAAAAGAACTCTTGCTACACAATTTTCCAATGCAGCCAGATGGTAGTTTTACAATTATTTTTCAAAATTGTTTCTATATGTGTTAGTGCACAATTGTAACACTTTAGGATATAATTGTAGCTGGCAATCTACGATTTCCATGGTGTCTCACCGTTGACCTTTCAGTCTAACCATCTTGCATTTCATTTCACCACTCAAGCCTGCACAGTTCAGTTGACATGTTCTTCTGTTGCCTGGCTTCGAAGTCCCCTCTCCAGCTTGCTTCTCTTGCCATTCCCATCAAGAACAGTGCGACTGATTCTTCTGATTTCTTTGTTCTCTTTGCATTTTATCTTATTCAAGCTTCTCTTTCAATTTTCTGTAATTACCTATCACTCTAACCAATTACTGAACTTTGCAATCTGATCAATAAAATCCTTCTGCTGATGCCAAAAGCTGAGAACTTTATGTAATCGTTATATCTTATCATGTACTAAGTAGGTATTTGATGCATCTCTTTTTGGGATAAAAGGTTATATCCTTTATTACTACTAATATTATTACTATTTTGGTTGGTATTGGATCATACCTAATATGAGGAAATTCTGAAAATTTCTTAATGTGAGGGATAGGGAGGAAGAAAACGACGGCTTAAGCTGAAGTGACCTCTCTAATTCAAACCCTTGTACATCTGGAGAAATTCCCCTGTATTCTTTTCGAAAGTAAAATAATTTAGGCCAAAGGTTTCAATGAAAAATGTGGATGAAGTCATACAGCTTTTGGAACTAGGAGAAAACGAGTGGGATCATACATTATATTAGAACTGTCAAGTACGATCCTGAATGGCTTCTGTCACAATATCAGCCATTAAGAAGAGAGAATCCTTTTCATCTAGAGTCACTCCAAGTGGGATCTTGTATTGGTAGAGCATCAAATATGAAGGAAGAAAAGGAAAAGATATTGGAAGAGATGAGTTCATTTCACGCAGAGCTGAAAGAATTCCTTGGTATGAGGCCGCGTTTGTGATGCTTGATGCTACTGCTACATCCCCATCAATAATCCTTTCCTCTTTTTGTTTCTTCCTCTCCCAATTAAAAATCACGCTTTCTGATTCTCTTTTTCTCTCTCCCAAACTAGGCCTAAATTCTTCTCACTCAAAAAGGAATCTTGTGCAGAATTAGAAAGCAGGAAATCATTCAAGATAGTGTTGATCAGTTAGTTACCAGTGAAACCACGCTCGCTGGCACTTTGCGCTTGTGATTGCGATCAATATCAGTAAGAATCCCCTTCTGATCGCCTTGTAGCTTTCCACTTTCATTTTTTAGTGCATCCGTGCGCTCTTCTTTCAATTTTCTGGTTTATGCCCACTTGTCTCACTAAATTCTGTATTTCGCAATCTAGCTAAAAGTTCTACATTTTGCAATTTAATTCTGTTATTCAACTGTTTGATCGGTTTTATTAACATTCTGTATTTTGCGCTCTATTTGGAGGGAGTTCTTTTTTTTTTTTTTTCATTTTATTGAAGAAGTATTGTTTTACTGCTGTTTGATGATAATCGATTTGTCATCTTGATATGCCAAATCAAAAAATTTCTTGACCTGCAGCTTGTGTGAGAAGTGCAGACCTATATTGTGGGAGAGATAGATGGCTTATGCTGCTGTGGCTTCTCTTGTCCAAACGCTAGAGTACGTGTTGAAATTTTCACATTTGGTTTTCCAAATCAAGATAAAGCGTGCCGAAGTTTACAATAAAAGAGTTGCTGAAGTCATAAAGCTTTTGGAAGCAACATCAAACGAGTCGGAATATCATCTGGAGCAAGCTATTGATATATTGGAATCGCCGAAAGGGAAACAGGTTATTCGGTTTCAGGATGATAGTGGATGGCTTCTGTCGCAATACCGGCTGCCAAGAAGAGGAGGGCGAGTTCTGTCAGTGGAAATGCCAGAAATGGAGGAACAAAAGAAAAACATTTTGGAAGAGATTGATTCATTTCAGGCAGGCTTGAATGTGTTTTTTGGTGTAACCGGTCCTCACATCATCAGGGGAGATACAAGAAACTACTTTCTTTGGCAACTTGTTCGTACGCTGGTAGGAGAACAGCGTCTGGGAAGTGACCAACTCAAAAAGAAAATAGTTTATTTTTACAAAGTGACCAGGGACACAACAAATTTGTGCAAGGAGCTTCAGTCCTTGCTGATCATTCTTGACAATCCTTCAAATAAATGCCATGATATATTGAAAAGTATCCAAGATGTTGCATATAGAGCCAGAGACATTTTTGACCTACGCATGATAGAAAATCAAGTTGAGCCTGCCTTGACATACTGCTTAAGGGTTAGGAAAGGAGATCTAGAAGGGAAAAGTTCTTTTTCTTTTGAAGAGAGGGTCAACAGGATTTTCGGTCTTGAAGAGAGGGTCAACTGTCTTTTCGGTGCAAATGCTGGCAAATTTTTGCGGCAGACATTAGAAAATGTTCGTTCTATTAAGAACAACATCAAAGAAATCAATTCTGAGGAGCTAACTGTTGAAGATTTGCAATTGGGGTCTGCTTCACTTGATGGTTCACATCAAGCCCAAGGCAGTACAAATCAGGAGGATGCTGTGGTGGGTCTTGATGACGATATGAGGAGAATCACAGAAAAGCTTACTAGACCACCACCATTTCAACTAGAAATTCTGACAATTGTGGGTATGGGCGGCATTGGCAAAACCACTCTTGCTAGAAAAGTTTTTGGTCATTGTTCAATTGTTTTGCACTTTCATTGTCGTGCATGGGTCACTGTATCCCAAGTTTATGAAGTTAAAGATTTGCTCTTCAGCCTCTTGTGCTCAGTTTCAGAACCCACTTATGAAAAGCATGAAAAGAGTAAAGAAGATATAGGTGAAGAGCTTTATAGAAAACTGAAGGGTAGAACATATTTGATTGTCATGGACGATTTGTGGAGTATCAAGGCCTGGAATGCTGTCCAGGGATATCTTCCAGATGACAGAAAAGGAAGTCGTATAATATTGACTGGTAGGTCCATTATTACTGAGTTGAAACCCGAGGAGAAACCTTACCATTTCATGAGACTTCTGGATAGAGATCACAGTTGGGAATTGCTGGAAAAGGTGGTATTTGGAAGAAAAAGTTGCCCACATGAATTGGTGGATGTCGGAAAGCAAATCGCTGATAAATGTGAGGGACTACCCCTGGCGATTGTTGTTGTTGCTGGTCTTCTCTTGCGAACTACGAGAAGACTAGACTGCTGGCAAGACATTGCGGATAGCGTAAGGTCACTTATGCGCAATGATCCTACAAATTGCCTGGACATACTTGCTTTGAGTTACAAGAAGTTGCCCAATCGCCTGAAAGCCTGTTGGTTGTACTTGGGGGCTTTCCCTGAAGACTGTGATATTGAAGTTCAGAAACTCGTTCATCTTTGGGTTGCTGAAGGTTTCTTGGATCCAGAACCCATAGCAGACACGGAACAGGTTGCAGAGGATTATTTAGACGACCTAATTGGCAGAAACTTGGTTTCGGTGGGAAGGAGAAATTTTGATGGGAAAGTCAAAACATGTCGCCTCCATGATTTCTTGCGGGAACTATGCGTGAGAGAAGCTGAGAAAGAGAAGTTCATGTATGTCACACCAAGAGGTGCCCAAGGTTTTCGAACAGGCATACGGGATATGTATCGGCTCAGCATCACTGATTACTCGGTGCCATCATTTAGACATGCCATTTCATTTATGTGCTTTAGTTTGGGTTATGGCTTTTCGCCAGATCTCCTATTGCTGGAATTACAGCTTAAATTGCTGAGAGTATTAGACATATACTTTCTTCATTTTGATCATTTCCCCATCCAGGTAGTGGAAATGGTTCATTTGAGGTATATCGCATTTAATGTTACTTATGAGCTTCCACCGTCAATGTCCCAGCTTAGAAATCTCCAAACCATACTCATTCGTGGCCCGTGGGAAAGCCCCATTCTGTCTTTGGAATATTGGAGTATGCCATCCTTGAGGCATTTTCACTGCAGTGTAGTTAGTCACTTGAAGAAACCCACAATTGGCAGGAAGAGCTTTGACCGACTGTTTGCCCCAGAATATCTGCTTAGTCTCTCCACGATAAGCTTCTCTTCTTGCACGCGGGAGGTTTTCAACATCATGCCCCAACTGAAGAAGCTAGGCATCTGTGAAACAGAAAAGGACTACATTACAGGTGTTTCATCTGAATGCCTAGCCAATCTGCACTTGTTGTGTAAGCTGGATACTCTCAAGTGTTCATTTTTCAAAGAAACAAGTAAAACGCGGGATTTATGTCGGTTTTCTTTACCCTACAAGCTCAAAAATCTGACTCTAAGTTGGAGCTATCTTCCATGGGGGGATATGGCCATTTTTGCCAATTTAGGCCACCTTACAGTACTCAAACTGAAAAACTTTGCCTTTCAAGGACCAAGATGGGAACTGAATGAAGGGATATTTGGTTGTCTAAAGTCGTTGCTAATAGAAAGTACAGATCTAGTACACTGGGAGGCCACAAGCACTGATCATTTTCCATGCCTTGAGCACCTGCTTCTGAGGTCTTGCAAATCCTTAGAGGAGATCCCATACGGTATTGGGGAACTTCCTACCCTCTCACTACTTGAGGTGCACTACTGTAGCAAATCTGCAGAGGATTCTGCTAAAGAATTTGGAGAGGAAATTGAAGGCTTGAAGGTTGTCACGAGAAGTGATATTTAGGTGAAAATGTCATCAAAGATCCTTGATTTCTAATTTCTATGTGCACCAATGAGTCGGAATTTTCATAAATATGGTTGTTTGTCTAAAATACCAAAAAACACCCGTCATCTTCTAAAACAACCTCTTTTCCCTCCCACCATCCATCGCCAACACCTGCCTCTGCACCGCTACATTCTACACTATTTAGGGACCGTCAGGGATTGGATTGCGATGATTTTTGATAAAAATGCACTTTTGAGTGTTCAAAATACTTTTGAAGCGTTCGATAAACATCATCGTGTCAAATTGGAGTGGAATTTTTGGTGTTACAAGCACTTCTAACAAAAACTCAAACTTGTTATTTTTAGAATAGCTTTTCTATTTTAAAAAATAAATATTAAATATAATCATTTTATCCTATATTATGAATTAAATAACGAGATAAATACATTAAAAAAATTTTAAATTACACGCTATCTTATACAATAAGTACTTATTTAACTAATTGAAATATGTATCCAAAAAATGTACTCTTTTTTTTGTCGACACAGGGGTGTCCGAATCAATCCTTACGGGGCCCGACTAATCCCCTGCGATCCGGATCCCATAAAATTTTAAATTACACGCTATCTTATACAATAAGTACTTATTTAACTAATTGAAATATGTATCCAAAAAATGTACTTAAAAACACTTATAAGTGTTTTAATTATCCTATATTACGAAATGAATAACGAGATAAATACATATAAAAAATTTTAAATTACACATTATCTAATACAATAAATACTCATTTAACTAATTGAAATATGTACCCAAACAATATACTTAAAAAGTACTTAAATATTTAATAAGCGCTTTTATTAAAAACTCTATTAGATGAAGTAAATTTCAATCAACTCTGACAACCCGTAAACAGGCTTTATTGTATCTTTTTAATTTTTCTTTTTTTTTTCTTTAGAACTGGTGTATTGTTTGATAAAAAAAAAAGAAAAAAGATCTGGTGTATTGTTTCAAGAATCCAAACACAACATTGATACATTAAGTGAACACCAACACCAAATTCTAAAGTAAATGATATGGGACTTAGGGTTAACTGTATCTGCAGAAGAAAAAGAATAAATAGGGACAATTATAAAGTGGGCATCTTTCTGTTTATCTTTTGAATAAATGTTATATATACTGATGGTGTATATACTATCACGGTTGGATGCATGACATATAAGTAAAATTTGAATTTTAAATTTAAATCTAGATAAATTATTATGCATTCAACTGTGACAATTAAATTTAAATTTAAATAAATTATCATGTATCCAACGATAATAGTATACTTTGTCAGTATATAAAAGATTAATTCTTATCTTTATTACTATTTACCTCGCTCAGTTGTAGTCGAATATATGGAGGGTCATCTAAATGTGTCATTCATCGTACCATCAGCTTCAGTACTCCCGGCTAAAGGCAACCAAATCATCCTAGAGACGGTGAGTCGTTTTCTCCACTCCCACTGATCTCTGTTTATAAATTAAAATTAGACCCCAGCTGTATTTCAGGCCTTCTCAAATCTTCTGGTGCTGATTGCTGTAATCTTCATGGAAAAAAGTTGCAGAAAATTAGGTGCACACAAACGTATGCACTTTTCTTGAACTTCATTTTTGGTATTTTACTATTTGTCCAGAATCTAGCGATACCCAATTCTTGAAATTTTAAAATTCCATCTTGTCTTACCACCAAGACATAGCCCCCTAAAAATCCCTAATAATGAGATTCCGACATTAGCAAATAATATAGAATTGGGGTTTTTTGAGGCTAATTTAATTTACAGTTATTTGATTGAAAGATGGAGAGTTCTGGATCCTGCAAGAATTGCAGCAAGAGAACCCTCGTAGTAGATGGTGATACTGGCAACTTGGTGTGTTCATCATGTGGGGTTGTTCAGGATTTTGAGAATTTTCAAGCCCACATTGGCGGTATTACTGGCCCTACTGGCACCTTTGTCCGCGTAGGCACGGCGGGCTCCGGTAGTGTGTATAGCTACAAGCAAACTAAAGTTTATCAAGCTCAAAAACTGATAGAAGATTTGATATTTAAGTTAGGATTAGCGGCCTCACGGTATGATGAAGTTAAGGCCATGGTTGAGAGGATAACAGAGGGTGAATATGGTCAGGGGAGATGGTTTCCAATTTTTGTTGGGGCTTGTGCTTATGTTGTATTGAGGAAGGATAAGAAAAGCTTGCCGATTGTTGAAGTGGCGAATGTGGTCGGTTGTGATATTAGTGAGTTGGGAAGAATGGTGCATCGGGTTGTGGATTTTCTTGATCTGAAGTTGCCTGAGTTTGATATTGTTAGCTCGTTTGAACGTGCAATTAGGAGTTGTCCGAGCTTTAGTGGGGTTGAGGAGGAAATTGTTGGAAGGATGTTGAAGCAAGGGGTGTTCTTGGTGCAGTGCTCGATGAAGTGGTATTTGACTACAGGGAGAAGACCAATGCCCATTGTGGCTGCCATTTTGGTGTTTGTTGCAGAGTTGAATCAGGTTCACGTGAAGATTGAAGAGGTTGCAAAGGAGCTGTATGTGGCAGTGCGAACGTGTAAGAAGAGGTATAAGGAGCTGTTGGAAAGACTTGTTAAAGTTGCGCAACTCTTACCTTGGGGGAAAGATATTACTGTCAAGAATATTATCAGGAATGCTTCTTCAGTAATTCAGTACATGGAGTTGAAGTCGTCATCAAGGTGCAGTGGAAAGAATCGTTTTGATCATGTCGGTTTTGATTTGGATGATTTAGTCGCTGACTGTTTGAACAAAGAAATCAGGTACAGGTATGATACTTGTGATGTGGAAAAGGACTTGCAGTATTTTGAGGTGGAGAATTCTCCAACTTTGAGAATAGAAGGAACCAATAATCTCCAGATTTCGCATGAATGCTTGGCCATGATTTATTCAAATTTCTTAGATCGCTTACCATTGATTAAGTCTTCTGCAGAAATAGAAGAGGCAGATTGGACAAAACAGGAGAAGGGATATGACATTTACACTTGTAGAGAGTGGTGGACAGGCAAATCAGAAATGAGCAAGAAACTTTTGCTGAAGCAAATTATTGAGAAAGATGTTGGATTGAATGCAAACCCTCCGTCTTTTGATAGAGGAAACTTGACATATCAAAGGAGGAGAGAAAAGATAAATGCTGCTAAATCACGCATTCAGAGGATTTTGCATCCATCTGAAGCTGGCTTTGGTGATGGAAAGGATCTATGTCTTGCACAATGTATAAGTGCTAACAATAAAAGGAAAATACAAGTTGATGTTGACTGGGAAGATTTGATTATTGAAACACTTCTCCTTCATCAAGTGAGAGAGGAGGAGATAGAGAAGGGGTATTACAATGCCTTGTTGGACTTGCATGTATTTAATCTCTGAAGTATGAAATGTTTTAGATTCATAATGAAGCAGAATACAATGCATCATTTTGACAGTTCTAGGATATTCCAAGTCCTGAACAGTTCAGCAAGATGGCCTTTTCTTTTTTGTCTTTCCTAAACAGGTTTTTGGTTAAGTATTGTTGTGTATGCTAATTTGTTATATATATATATATATATATATATATATATATATATCTTTGTCATGCCACCTTTGGCACTTGTCCTATCTTTTTAGTTTGGGCACTGATCATTAATGTTGACGAAGAAAGAGTGTCTTGTATATGTACATGGGAAATGATGGGTTTAATGGCTAATTTGAGTTTGCATAATGCACCTTTAGTGTATTTCATGAGATCACATTAAGGTCTATTTTGTGCACTACATTTGTATTGTCTTTTTTACCCCTTGGTTACCTCTTTCTTCCGCTCAAACTTTTAAACTCCATGCGTATTTTTCTGAAATATGTTTGGTTTTAATGCATGAGCCAATACAGAAGTCTTAATTTTGTTTGGTAGTGGTTTCTGTTGTTCCTTTTGCCTGTTTTTGTAACTCTAACATTCCATGGACGTAAGGGGACATAATGATGTAATTAATCTTAGTTTGTTCTCTATGTATGGGTTCATTATCCTTAGAATTTGCTGGAGTGCATGGGAGAGGTTGAGAAATGGGAGAGGTTGGGACGTTACGTTGTTGGGACTTAAACCTAACTTATGGACTTTTGTTCAGTAGGTTTCACTGACCATATTTCTAGGAAGCTCCTCTGTTTGCTATTGGGCTAAGTGCCTGATTGAGGAATTAGTTATCTTTATTATTAGTACAGAAGTACAATAGTTCTATCTAGTCATGTACCTCTTATTTTATCACAATAAAAAGTTTGTCTGCTTGCTATTGTTAATTAGGAATTTGTTTCGTGTCCATGAGAATAAACTTTTAATTTTAAGCCAACAAGAGGCTACAAAGCCAGCAAGTTGTTACTCTTTATGAAATTAATCAAGATAAAGAGCTGACACTTCAGTGTTTAAACTTTTTATGTGAAGATGAAGATATAAAATGTGTAAAGCTGCATAATGAATTGAGTAATAGAATTAATTACTGTACCAAATTATTTGGAGAGTTTTGAACTGTAGTTTTGCAGATACATTAGTATGAAGTGTTATGTTGCAGATGCTTGAAAGTACGAATATAGTTCACTGACTGCACCAATATGAGTTATTTTCTGTTTAAGAAATTTAAGAATCATATCTTTGGAAAGCAGGGTCCATTTAGAATGTTCAGCACTTTTCATGCTACTCATAATTGACAAATTGGGCACGTTCTTCTGAGATATGTGATCAACGGTACTTATCAGTGTTAACTACGTAACTGGGATTTCTAGCTATTTTCTGATCTCTGCTTCATTTCCTAGCTGCAGAATCTTTCTTCAGAATAGAATCGATGCTTGTAATGCTAATTCTGAGTTATTGACTTATTGATATCGATTGATAAGAATTAAATTTGAAATGCTTTTGCAGTTAGGGCCTCAAACAATGCCTTTTCATCTTGATTTATGTAGTTTTCCGTTGAAGTTGAGTATTACCCTTTAATTAGTTAAGCTCAATGTTTGTAAGAACAACACAGAAGTGTCATTTGTGTGGGCATTTTGGCTGATGGCTAAAGATAAAAAGGCATGAACAAGATGGTACCATAGTTATAATACACCTGCAAATTGGGGTTACAGTCAATGTCGGGATGTAGAACAAGCTTTCTGGCCGCTGCCATTGTTATTTTCAAGGATTTTTCAAAGTTGAAGACATACATCTTTCTAGCACTTTAGAAGGTAATGCTCAATATTGACTTTTAGGTTGCTGGAAGTTGTGCGTCCTCTACAATGGTAATTTCTGAAATAGCTGTGCTCAACATCCTTTCTGTCTGTTTGCTTGTTTCGGTGTTCAGGGACAGGTACGGCAGTGGAGTACGTTTCTTTCACGGCCAAAAGAGCTGTAACAAGATCTATGTATTACTGTTTCTTTTCTACTAATGCTCAGAGACAAAGTTTTTTCTTAGTCACATTGTAATTATCTTATAACTTATTCCATTTGATCAAGAACCAGATGGAACTGAGGGTTGAGATGAATATGTGAGCAAAACTAGCTATCCATGAACAATTGGAATTTGGATAACTGGAATAGACTTTTTCTTTACTTGTCAGTAGCGAATGCCTCAACACTGGAAGGTTTCTGTTATTCTAGCAAGGCTTTTGAAGCGATTCTTTTCAGTGGATGCATCATCTGCAATTATCTTAGTTAGAGGTTGCCATTGGATGACTACATTATCCTTCACTCAAGCTTTTTGATCCTCTTCTTGTCAATGTAGTCAGTGATATCAGTGTAATAACTAACAAGCTTGCAGATCATCTTGAAGTTGTGCTCAATCATCTTTTTCTGAAGTATCCTGATGTAGCCAGTGCTCCTTACAAGGCCAACTTCACTCACATCAGCAAAGGGGGAGGGGTCTAATGGAGTTAAAAACTCTTGAGAAGTGAAATGGCCGTCTCATCCCCTCTTTGTGATCCTTCTTCAGACTTGATCCTTTCCTCTCCGTCATGGCGCTTACCTGAGTTCTGAAGTTCTATACCAGCAAATGAGTCAAGTTGAGCTTTGTAAGGTTTCAATTAATAGTGATCGATGACATGAAAAAGACATACTGTGGCAGCATCAAGGTGAGTAACTTCGTAGAATCATCCGAACTTTCTTTAGCATTGCTTTTCTTACCCCAGGTTCCCTGTAAGCCAATCATGTGCTTCGGCAAAACCTTCTACCAGAACTGCACTACTCTTGAAACTCCAAATGCAAGTACCATCTGGGGTTTATCAACAATCTCAAGCGTAAAGTGGATGTTATACAAGTATGCTTTATGAAGAAATATGTTTCTCGAATAGTCAATTATTAAAACAGCTTGTAAACCTAAAACTTGTGTAACTGTCACCCCTATGCAACTATTGCTTATATAAAGTGGAGCTTAGTGTTGACAAGACATTAAAGTTGAAAATTTTCATGTATTTTATTAAGGATTAATCTTTCCTACACTGTCAATGTATACACTAACAGGGTTAAATGAATGTCACATCATCTGAATTTAAATTTAAACATCAAATTTTGTATATGTGGAATTTTTATGAGTTTTTCTGAACGAGTTACATTTCAGGTGAAGTTTCACCGCTCCCAGAAATGCATTAGATCCTTAAAAGCAGCAGATTTGAAAGGAGTTGTGCCACTGAGAGCATTTTAGGTGTTGACAATGAAGATGATGATCACAGCGATCTATACTTTCTTTGTTTGAATTTGTCTTGTCAAAGAGGACTGTTTTTACAAGAGGGGATAATTTGCCTCAATCAATTTAGATGTGGCTGACCTCAGAAACTGCCATTAGAAGCTGAAGCTTTGGCGCATTGGGGAAGGGGAGAGCAGCAGGTTGCAAAGCCCGCCGTTAAACAGAAGCACGAGCTATAACTTTGGTTGTTTGATGTGTAGTGGAATTGGAGGGAAGAAGAGAAAAAGCATTCATCGCATAAGAAACTTGATGAGTATTCTTTTAGAAAGTGTGTTCTTCATTCATGACAGAGGGTTAAATTGTAAAGAGATTAAGATTATGCACTTTTAAAATGTGTTTGGATAGCAATTATTTAGTCAAAAATTATTAGCTTGCATCATAAATATATTTTTCAACACAAATTTTTTATTTTTTTAATAATCTTTTTATCTCATATATATATATATATAATATCGCAAAATATGGTATAGTAATTATTTCAACTAATATTTCAGCTAGTGTCCTATCCAAACACGTAACGTATAGGAAGTATTAACAAAGGTCATCAGTCGATGGAGTTGATTTTTTTGAGACAGCACCAATTAAGAAAAGCGTCTATGCATTTGGGCGCCTGTTCTCGTGCAACATAATTATGAAACTGTTTCCTTCGATCCAATCTCGAACACCCTCCAAGGAAGGTGCCTATGCATTTAGGTGAGCTTTTGGACAATTGGTCTCGCACGAGTATGCAAAAAAATCTCTTCCTGCATTTCAATCATGCTGTATTCTTTTAGGTTGCTATGTTGGTCTAAACTCCCAGGTAAATGGATAATTCAACTCTTCAAAAACCCGACAGATTTTCTTGTGTAATCCATGATCAGCAGATCATCTTTTACGAGTTTAATTGTGCATGAAACATTTATTCTCTACTGCATTCTGCTGTTAATTCCTGAAGAATTACACGCTACTACAACAAAAAGACAATGCTGCAAAAAAACAGCAAGTAGGGAAAAGTGCAGTAACTCATACATCATGCATGATTTTAGTAGGCCTTTTTGCTCACTGGCCTGCAGCAAATGCCTCGACAGGGAAAGTCTTTGTGATCCCAGCAAGGCTCTTGAAATGAATCTTTCCTGTGGGCGGATCATCAGTAGTTATCTCACCGATTGGAGGCCATAGCATGAACTCCTTAGCCTTCACTCCCTTGAGCTTCTTGATCTTCTTCTTCTGAATGTAACCGGTGATCTCAGTGTCATAGCTCACCAACTTGCTGATCATCTTGAAGTTGTGCTCAACCTTTTTCTTCTGCGCTATCCACATGTACCCGTTGCTCCTCACAAAACCTACTTCAATCACATCAGCAATTGGGAGAAGTCCCAATGGAAGTTCAAACTCTTCAAGAAGTGAAACGGCCATTTTCAGCCCCTCTTCATGACCCTTCTTGACAACTCCTCCTTCCTTCTCCCCCATTATTGTTGATTCGGGTTCTGAAATCTGCGCTTTTAATTTGATTTAGTGTAGCTTGATTTAAAGCCCACGAAAGCTTTCTATTTATAGTGATGAATAATGACATTTTCGAGACAGGTTTGGCGAAATAAACGAAGTTCGCAACTTTGTATCAACCATCAGAATATGGATTGCAGTGTAGTTTTGTGTCTTTTTTAATCCAAAGTTTTGTCTTCTGCAAAATCTATTCGTGTTGCTTGCCGCGTTGCTCCAAGGCTTCGAGGATGGTATTTGTTTCTAGGCATTTGGAATTTCCTCAAGCCATGAGCAATCCATGGTCTGTTTTCTTGTATTTTCAGAAACTGCTCCGATTTTTTCCCCTCCCATACGAATTCAAATTGAAAACTTGAATCTAATCCGGCTTTTTCACATGGAATATTGTCTGGTGAAGTTGTATAAATAGTAAGAGACCTTTCAAAGTCATTTGAATAGGCAATATTATTTAGGTTAAGCATTTTCTACTGCGTACATCACTTATAACATTACTAATCAATCATTACGAATTAAAATTATGTCATACCTCATGTAAACCAAAGCATTGTCATTGAAAAGCACTTGGCATCATTTTGATGAGGTGAAAGGAGTGAAACACAATTTGTTTCTTTTGGTAGTAAAATAGAATGTCACAATTAATCGTAATACAACAAGAGTTGCTAAACGATTTAGTTTTCGATAACAAATTATCCTATACAATCGTCATAAAATAGTGAAAACGATTACCAAAGATCTCAATTTATCTTTGCAAGTCCATCTGCACAGCGATTTGCATCTAAAGGAGGCAAAGTGGTAGAGAAGAATGAAGATGCATCCAGAGTAATTTTCCATGGATGCTTTGTTGCTTGGTGCTTAAAGGTTTAAGGGGTGTATTATCCAAAAATAGAATAAAATAGAAATCTGAATTGTGTAGGAATTTAAATTTTAATGCAGTGCTGGACTTACCATACAACTCTAGCTTGTGCATTGGGCTCTCCATTGAAGATGGAATCTAGGCGGAGATGTGTTCTGTTTGGCGAGCATCTAAAAGGGCTCCTACTACTATTCCTGAGACATGGGCCGTCACCTGATAAGAACCATTGTCACATTCACTCGTACTGTTTAGCAACACTGCATGATAGTTCTTAAGCTCAAATTTTTTTACTAAGCAATAAAGATAGAATCGATTCCACTCTGATCATCGTCATAAGTCAAAACATACTTGCAAAATCAAAAGTTGTTTAAAGCTCTATTTTTAAACTCGGACCGGATCGATCGGTTCGATCGATCGAACTGGTCTGAGTTAATCCTAAAAATGAAAAAAATAAAAAACTCAGTCAAATCAGGTCAAAACCAGGTTTGACCGGAAAAATAAACCCAGTCTCTTTTTTTTTTCTTTTTACTTTTTTTGAAAGGTTAGAATATTTTTAATATGATGTTTTGATCCTTAAGTTGTTAAAAATTATTAACATACCTCAAATATTTCATACTTTATAAATATTGTATTAAAGTTTGGTGTTATTTTTCAATTAAGTCCATAATTTTAATTCTAAACTTGTTAATGCTTATTAAATAATATACATTGCTACTTGATTGCTTTAATTTATTTGTATTTTCTTATTAAATATATTTGAAACATCAAATATATATGACGTCATGTTATTAAGTATTTTACATATAATATTTTAATTTTTAAATAAATTTTATTTATGATGTCATCCGGTTTAACCCCTATCGAATCCGGTTGAATCCATTGACCCCTGATCCCTCAGTTCGACCGAGTTGATATCCGGTCCGATTCTGAAAACATAGGTTTAAAGGGCTTTTTTATAGATTGTCCAATAACAGATCCCACACATCGGATGAGTGATTATAAGATCCATTTAAGTGACCTAATATTCTTGAAAGTATGTCTTGACGAGTGATGGTAATGGAAGTCCAACCTATCTATATGTTTTCATATAAAAAAATTTATACAAGTAGTTGCTGCAAAAAAAAAAAAAAAATATCTGGATATTGCATGAACATTTAAAATCATTTTTCCTTTCATGTCTGGAAGCAGGGTGTTAGTTTGTCTGCGAAAGACAAAATATTTAACCATTAGAATATTAGCAATTTAGGGGATGGATAATAGATAATAATGCTAAAATCCTTAGGGAGTCCACCCCTTGTTTTAGTGTACCCTTACGACACATGATAGAGAAAGTCATTTAAAATTTTGATCATAAATTACTCTATACAAACAAGAAGTCTTCAATTATCTTAAGTAACCAATAAGTTTCGAAAACTATAATTAAAAATAAATAAATAAATAAATAAATAACCATGGCAACTTTTTGGGATAAAGAGGCAATGTCTTAGAAGATACTTTGGACCTGTAGAAAAGTTCCAAGGCTCAATTCACAGGTCACCTGGTGACAAAACGATGATGCCATAAATTAAAGAAATTAACTCAAGGAAGATCAGAAACATTCCCTTTTGGCCAATCGCATAATTGATATAGTCCTCTTATAAATCAAGTTGAAAATTTTTTTTTTTCAGATATTCACAAGATATGCAATGTAAGTTTCTTTGCTTTTTGAATCCTTTTTTGCCATTTAAGGTATTTTCCAAACTATCTCTTTCACACTCTGCTTTTCTACCTTTGACGACTTTCAGAACAAATCCCATGAGAAAATTCTTGGTAGGTTACAACTTGTAACGCCAAGTCACCATCCAGTAATTTACAATGCATTTTCGACGACTTTTGAAGTCTTAAAAGAAGCCTAGGTCTGAGATGACGCAGGGGAAAAATTACACTTTAAGTAATATTTTTATACATATTTTTTTTTTCTCATCATACAAGTTTGAAGTTTCTGCGTAATTTGATGACATTGTTAGAAAAAGGTGGTCAAATGCCAACACAAAAATTTGAATACTTCACAACCATAAATATGAATTTTATTGGATGCTCTGATTTAAAAATTAGGAGGATCACTATCATGTTAATTACCTAGAAAATAACCTGTTTTCAACGTTTTGACACTGTCAATTGTCAGGCTAGTTGCTGCTAATAGAAAACGTTGTCATTGGCATGCATGGGCAAAACCATCTTGTGGGTTCAGCCAATCAGGAAAGGCCAACTAATTTTAGAAATAATGTAGAATTTGTACTAATCTTTTTGTGTTTGCATGAAATTATTTAACGGTTAAATTAGGGTTGATAACCAGCTTATAAGAAATTCTTTCGACTTAATTTTCTGAACTTAAAGCCATAGTTTAGAGGTAAAATGGTAGATCAAAGACATACGTTGGTGACACATCAATTGATCAATTATCTTCTTCGTCTCTAGCTATAGAATAGAATTTCTGCATTGTATTGTTTCGATGGACCATTTAGAGGATACTGTAACTGCAAAGATAGCAACAGAGTGGACTTATTTGAGAGAATTTCAGTGAGCTTTCTCACAGGTCCCTCCACAAGAATTGTCTCTAAGAAGCAAGCCAAAGGAAAAGTGTAAGAAATAGCGGGTCGGACCATTGAATATTATTCTATCTTATACTTCTTTCTATCCCTTGTTACAACTTGCATTATAAATAATACATATATGCTTCTCTAAAGCTGTATAAATAGGATCTGCTTCCACATTGCCCTTTTCATCATCCCTTACAGTATTTCAGCAAAGAAAGCTTCACATATCTCTCCTCTAGATCGATTAAGCCTCAAGCCTCAAGATGACGGTCAGATTTTCCTCTAATTAACTCCAATTTCTGTTTTGCATTTTATCATAATAAAAAACATGTGTCTATGCAAGAGCTTGTGTATTTATTTATTCACCTGTTAAGTCGACGCAGAATCGAATGGTTTCAAATTTTAGACTAGTGTTTCTTAACATGCATGCTTGTTTTTGTGTTGCATTATTCATGCGTATGTTTATTCAGT